GTGGTGGGGGAAAGGCAGAGACAAATGTATTTGAAAAACTAAAGAAAATAAATTAAAAAAATAATAATAAAAAAAAGAAAAGCTGGTTAGAGAGGACTTCTATGAATAATTCAGCTTGCTTCTGGGCTTTGTACTTGTAGATGCAATCATGCCCATGAAAGAATCAGACACTGCAAAAGTGATGTGCAGACAATGAATTCCAAAAAATAAGACATGGATGCCTTATAACTTTGGGTACCATGTATCTTTTTTAGTTGTACTCTGTTTTGAAAGGTGCCATGAGACTGTAGATCTCAAAAAACTTTATTATCAATGGTGTTTTAGATCCCCAGTTTGAGTTTGCTGAAAAAACTGTTCATTTGTTTGTTTGTTTGTTTGTTTCTGGGCAGATGATATTGGTAGTATCTTTGTAGGGAAACTAGTCTAAACAATCAAAAACAATTTTTATATAGTTTGTAGTGTATTGATTCCTCTTCTTGGGTCAGTTAATCACCAAGTATTTATCATAATTTAAGTTTATACCCTCCAGACTTTTCCTGTCTTTGCCATAGGAAAATGATTGAAACTCAAGGAGCAGTGGTATGCAGATTGCTGCCACAGTGTAATTATGAACATGTTGGTTTTTATATGGATTTTAGACAGATTCACCTGATGCACAATGTTAGTCTTCACATCCAGTGGAACTATTTAAAAACTTAAACTTGAGCTGAGACTAATTGTTTTTTAATTTGGAAAGACATTAATATTATTATTGTTGTTTTTATTTAATACCTGATAGTTGAAGACATCATAATATTCTTTCTTTAGTGGGAAAGAAATCTTGGCTTTTCTGCTGTATTTTCCTGGATAAATCTTAAAATCTTTTTCTTAATATCGTCAAGGTCATTATTGACCTATTGCTATATTCTATATTCTATATTCAAGACTCAATTTTCTTCTTAATGGACTTGTAAGAAGAATTTGACACAATTGATCTTTTCCTTTCCTTTATAAGCTTTCTTCTTTTGGCCGCTAAAGAAATATTGTTAACCATACCATTAATATTAAAATTACTATCTTCGCTACCACTAGAGCACTTCTGCAGACTCCACCACTATTAATTTTCTCCTGTGAAATATATACAACAATGTTTTTTGTCTCATATTAATGCTCGTGGGTGTTTTCTTTAAATTAGTCATATCTGTAACTACATTATGTAGCTTCCTATGTGATTTGATTTGACAGAGGAGGATTTATGTGGAATGTTTTTTTCATAAGCCTGTATTGAAATTTCATACTCACTGGTGAGTTTATTTCCAGAATTATGCCTCCATTCACTAGGATAGTCTAATTTTTATTTTGTTTAAAGCAAAGAGATGAAAATTTCAAATTCCAGTATACTGAATAGATTAGAACTAGACACAAATTAGTTTTATTTCTCACTGTTCCTTTATTTCAATTCAATATAAAACATTGGGATATTACCTGGGCTGGCTCACATTACACTTTATTTTCTCAGTGGAATGTAAAATAGGAAGTCATAATCATTTAGGACCATGATTTATCAGAAAAAAATCACATTTTTATTTGTTGCAATTTTGAAGTGTACTTTTTAACAAAGTTTTACACAGATCTTAGTGCAACTTACTTTGACACAATATTTAACACATAATTCATTAATTTCAATTTTTACTCCTTAAAAAAGAAAATTAACTTTACAGTAATATTAGAGAGTTCAGGCCTATTAAGGGCCATTAGACACAGCGCCTTCAAAAATGATTGGCACTGAGAGAATTTCAACTTAAACTTTTGTAACTTTCTTTTTTTACTTAGCATTCTTAAGAAGAAAGAATTTTATAAAGCAAAAACTTTTTTTATTTTTGACATATATATTTTTTCATGTAAAAATCTCTAGTTTTATTAATAGTTCCAAGGGAGTTGGTTTTAATATAATAAAGGTATAAATTATAGCAGAGACATCTATTATTTTCGGCCATAACAGAAATAAGAATTCTGTTAGCTCATGTAATATTCAATAACAAAAAATTCTAAATTTAAATTACTTGTATTCATTTTGCTTTAAGAATTTTTTGTGGAGGTGGTAATAAAAATCTAAATTGTAAAAGAATGATTCATTCATTATTCCTGCAAAACAGACTTGGTGAATAAAGACAGATATTAACAGGAAATATGTAGCAGTACTGAGCACAAGAACCAAATCAGTGTAGATGATTATTAAACATTAAACAAATATAACTAGATAGATCATTTATGCCTCACAAAAAAATTAGATTAATTAATATAAACCATGGAGTCAGTGAATTAAAGCGTACCACTTGATGATTTGGTGTTCTGAGTACAGCCTAGGGTAAATGAAATTGGCAGGCTGATTTCTGACATAAGGCTGTCTTTCAGCCTTCTTCTTTTTTTTTCTTTATTGTTGTTCAATTACAGTTATCCCCATCTTCCCCCATTGTTCTACCCTGCCCCATCCAACCTCCACTCCCAAAGACATTCTGCACTCCATTGTTCTCGTCCATGAGTCCTTTATTCGTGTTCCTTAGCTTGCCTCTTCCCCTTCTTTTGCCAGTTAGCCCCCTCTCCTCTCCTCTCTGGTCACTGTCCGTTTGTTTTTTATTTCCATTTCTCTGGTTCTGTTTTGCTTGCTTGTTTGTTTTGTTGATTAGGTTCCACTTATAGGGGAGATCTTACGGTATTTGTCTTTTACTGCCTGGCTTATTTCACTTAGGATAATGCTCTCCAGTTCCATCCATGCTGTTAGTGAAGGGTAGGAGCTCCTTTTTTCTTTCTGCTGCATAGTATTCCATTGTGTAATGTACTACAGGTTTTTGATCCACGGATTTACTGATGGGCACTTAGGCTCCTTCCAGTACCTGGCTATTGTAAATTGTGCTGCTGTGAACATGGGGGTGCATAGGTTCTTTTGAACTGGAGTTTCAGGATTCTTAGGATATAATCCCAGCAGAGGGATTGCTGGATTAAAAGGCAGTTCTAATTTTAGTTTTTTGAGGAAATTCATACTGTTTTCCACAGCGGTCAGCCTTCTTTTTCTGTGTTCCAGCAGGGATTCACGGGGGCACGATCTTCAGTTCCACCTGTGAACTGGTGCTCTCTAGTGGTTGTGTGAGGCCTTAAAGAAAGAGCCAGTTTCTACGTGACTGAGAAATCTGTGGAGAATGAAATTCAAAACTCATGCTGCTCTCCCTGCAAGTACTTCCATTCTCCAACTGAATACATTTAACAGATTCTACCTTCTTAGTCAATCTTCAGCCCAACACCAATGAATTTTCATGGCTACAGTCTTTGGGTTTCCATTCTAGATTTACTACAAATGTCTAATGTGGCAATTAGACAATTGTGTCTAATTGTGGGATCTAGTTGTCTAAATTTTAAACTACTTTATCTCACTGAAGTTAATTTTTTTAGAACCATGTTACTCTTTTTAGTTTGGGCCTAAGGGAACTTTTAGATTGATAGAAAATTTCTAAACCAGATTTGGTGATGATCATGCATATTTATATATTGGCTAAAATTCATCCAATCATATAGGTGTAATAAATGAACATGGTTTGTAAATTAGACCTCACTAAAACTAAGTGAAAAAAATCCAAATTTCTGCCCAGCTTCATAAATATTGGACATTCTTTTCAAATATCAGAAGAGATCATTGGAAAATATGGTTTCTTTACTAAATTTTCCCTAAGTTTTAAAATACAGAGGTGGGCAAAAGTAGGTTTACAGTTGGTCATATGGAAAATAATACAATAATAAATAATAATAATATAAGAATAAACTCTGTGTTTCACATAATTGCACCTGTAAACCTACTTTTGCCAACCACTGTATTTTAAACCCTCGTATATCTGGAATGTCTTTACAATGCCAAAAATCGACAGTTAATTTTTGTTCAAGTTATGTAATTATATAATTATTGTAATTTGCAGAGTTGTTTTAGGATCCAACAATAATTTAACTGTTACATAATTGCAAGATAGTATCTTAAATTAAATATTTGTAGATGAAATGCTGAGCCTGGCAAGCTCAGGGGAGGTCTGTGCGATGGCCTTGCAAACTCAGAGACCTAAAGTAACCACAGAGGATGGTGTGAAGTTAAAAACTTTCTGACTAAAAGCAGGTCATGGTGGGCAGTAGTGTCCTAGGCTGGATACTTCCTTGATGAAAGTTAATCTTTATCTCAGTTGAGCCTGTTGTCTTTTTGCATCTATGATAACATACATTTGGAATGTCACATTTCCTTTTTCTGGATCCCTCAAAGCGTAGACGCTGCACCAGAGAGATACTACAAACCCCCTCGCTGTTATTGTTATCATGTTAATTGTTGATTCTTAACTATCATGTACCGCCTTCGTTAAAGAAGTATGTGTCTATCATTTTATTTTGTATTCATTCCCAGAGGCTTCCTCATTTTGCTTTCTCCCACCTTCCTATCTATCATTGATAGATTTCATGTAATCCAATTATGCCTCCTCTTTTGATTGTAATGTATAAAATAAGACACAAAACTGCTGTTTTCCAGAGCAATCTCTCAATCTCTTGAGGTTTTGCTTCCTAGCAATTGTTGTCAGTTTGACTCAAATAAACTCTTAAATTCTTACCTGTTTGAATGTTTCTTATATTGATATATTAATGTATTAGGACGTATAAGTAAAAACACTCATATACGTATTTTCCATTCCCCTGACTTTACAGATTATCAGAAGAAATTTTTAAAAGAAAAACTATAATATTAAATTTAATATGTAGTGTAAAGTTTAGAAATTGTGGTATCTAGGTCATGAGAAAAATAAAACAATACATTTCCTCTGAGGTTTTCACTTAAGATGAAACTGAAATCTTGTATGTACCCGGTGGACAATGTGAAAACAAATCAGTAGTTTGAGGACAATCCTCTGATTAACATCAGATTTATTATTTTCCTATTACTTATCATATTAAAAAACAAAACACACACATATACACACACATTTATCACACTGAAGATGCTAAATGAAGAAAGATACATGACATTGAATATGCAGTTGAAGAAAAGGAGTTTTACCCAAACATCCGAACTTACATATAAAGGTACGGAATTCAGTTTTTTTCAAGTGGTGTGGATTAATATGGGTGTGGATATAACACAGGTTAATATTAACATGAATTTTAATGTGGATAGTAATTCTAATATCCTGTTCCTGAATTGTTTTATTTAAATTTTTTTTATTTGGTGTTTTTCTGTGTCTGTCTCTGTCTCTGTCTTGTCTCTCATCTGCCTCTCTATCAATGTGGGACTAACGTTTGCTTTTAAAATAATATTTTGTCTCACATAATTTCTTTTTTAAAATATTTATTGTTGTTCAAGTACAGTTGTCTCCATTTCCCCCGCCACTCTTCCCCCCACCCACCCGCACCTCCCACCCTCAATCCTACCCCTTTTTGGCTTTGTCATGAGTCCTTTTTATACATGTTCCTTGGCGACCGTTCCCCTTCTTTCCTCCATTACATGCCTCCCCTCTGTCAGTTTGCTTGTTATTTCAATGTCTCTGGTTCTATTTTGCTTGCTTGCTTGTTTGTTTTGTTGATTATGTTCCACTTATAGGGGAAATCTTACGGTATTTGTCTTTTACTGCCTGGCTTATTTCACTTAGGCTAATGCTCTCCAGATCCATCCATGACGTTGGGATGCGTAGCGGTTCCTTCTTTCTTTCTGCTGCATAGTGTTCCATTGGGCAAAGGTACTGCAGTTTTTTGATCCACTCATTTACTGATGGGCACTTAGATGTTTCCAGCACTTTGCTATTGTAAATTGTGCTGCTATGAACATCAGGGTGCATAGGTGAGGTGGAGTCAGATTCTGTCCCACAAAGCCACTCCGGGTCGTCATAGATGGGGAAATAAAAATAAGCCATTTCAGACACTTTCTCGGTCTGCAAGGGAAAGGGAGAGGCAATTCCCTCTACTGGAGAAGGCTCCAAGCCCCTGCGTCCAATGGCTTTTATTGAAAGGGTTATCAGTGGAGGATAGGTAGCAGGAATGTACAGGTAATCTCATTACATCAGTATGTTAATGTTTACAGAGAATAGGTGATGTTTTGGAAAAAACAAATGGCAGAAACACACTGATTTACATGTGTCCAAGATGGGTAAACATAAGAGCGCCAAATGGTTTAGGGTCAAGGTCTGTGAATAATGTAAATTTCCTTCCCAGCGTGAGCTGGGTATCATAGCTTTGAGGGAAAAACAAAACATGCTTCAAGGAATTTATGTCTAGACCTGATTTCCCCCCCAGGAACTGCCTGATCCAGTCTAGGGCTGCCTACAGAATTGTTTCAAGCCTGAGCCAGGCAGTCAGAGCAGAGCCATCAGGAGATAAGGAGACTTCTTTCAGATAGAATGAGGACTCTGGCCATATCAAAGCCAAGGGGTGAGGGTCTTTTGCCCTTCCTCTGAGTCCTCCAAGTCCTTCCCATGACGGTCCCTATGCAACTGTGCCTGTCTTATGTTGCCCCTGCCATTGAGGGGTCCAACCCACCACTGACTAACCAGCCATCCTCCGGGGCCAGGCCGGGTGATGTGAGGGAGGCAGGGGCTAATTAAAATGTAGTGGTGGATTTTTTAATCCTTAGTATATACTCCAGTTGGACTTGCACGGTCAAATTAGGTTTTAAAATTACTTGATCCCTGAATGGTGTGGCTCAGCTGGTTGGGTATTATCTTGTAGACCAAAATGTTGCCAGTTTGATTCCTGGTCAGGGCACATGCCTGGGTTGCAGGTCAGGTCCCTGGATGAGGACATGCGAGAAGCAACCAATTGATGTTTCTCCTGTACATCAATTTTTCTCTCCCTCTCTTTTTTCCTCCCTTGTTTTTGTTTCATAAGTTATCTAAAGTAAAGCATTTTCTTTATTTATATTTTTACATGATATTGTATATATAAAGGCAATTGTATATATAAAGTTAATTGTATCACTGCAGCTGCCAATTGTTTTATTAGATAATAAATCTGTGGGTTTTTTTTAGTTTTGCCAAAGACACACTGACATTATCTTTCAATAATCATACCTCTTTTTTTACTGTTTTTTATCTTTGTTTGGGTTATTTTGTGTGATGGCATTGAATAAAACCTTCCAAAAATATTAAATAGTAGTTGAGATTTGGGATTTTCCCCAAAATTTACTGAGGTATAATTGATATATAACATTGTATAAATTTAAAGTGTACAGTGTGATGATTTGATATATTTATATATTGCAGAATCATTACCCAGTAGGGTTAGTAAACACATATAAACTAACATAATTACAATATTTTTGGAGTAAGAACATTTAAGATCTCTTCTCTTAGCAAATTTAGAGTGTATAATACAACACTGTTGATTATAATCAGTATCTGTACAGTAGATCTCCAGAACTTATTCATCTTATAACTGGGAATTTGTACACGTGGACATCTGCTCATCACTCCTACTTATAATGCTTGGGAATTATCACTCTACTCTCTGTTTCTATAATTTTGGCCTTTTTAGGTTCCACATATAAGTGATATATACAGTATTTATATTTCTCTGTTTTTCTTTTTACTTAGCATACTACCCTCAAGTTCCATCCATGCTGTCCCAATAGTATATACATATGTCACATTTCTCTTAATCCTTTTGTTTATATACAGACACATAGAATGTTTTTATATCTTGACTATTGTGAATAATGACAAAAAAGGGCAAGCTTCTCTTTCAAATACTGCTTTCAATTATTTTGGTTATACCCAGAAGTGGAATTATGAATCCTATGGTAGTTCTATTTTTAACTTTTTGAGGAACCTCCATACTGTTTCCTATAGTGGTGGCATCATTTTAAATTCTCACAAACACTTGCAATCTTTTGTCTTTTTATTAAGAGCCATTCCAACAACTGTGAGAAGGTAAGTCATTGTTTTGCTCAATGATCAGCAATGTTGAATGACTTTTCATGTGTTTGGTCATTGGTGTGTCTCTTTGGAAAACTGTCTATTTATTCCTGATTCATATTCCATCCTTGGTAAATGAAACAGGTGAAGTGATTTGGAAATACTGCATTTAAAGCAAATGGTTAAGAGGGAACTAAGGTGGTGGTAGAGTAGGTAGATGTTACACTCACCTCTGCCAGGAACTAATGAGAATATCAACTAAAATATAGAGCAAAACCTGAATAACCAACTGAAGATTAGCTGCAGAGAGGTCTTATATCCAAGGTCTTACAGAAGAAGCCACATCGAGACTGGTAGGGAGGGTGGAGATGCAAATAAAAGATCTCTGTGATCCCACAGGCAGCAGCTGAAATTCCAGAGGCATATATCAGCTGCAAAGGTTCTCCCTGAGAAGTGTGGGGTCTCAATCCAAGCTGGGCTTGAGTCCAGAGCCAAGAAGGGCCTCCTACATAACAACTGGCTGTGAAAATCAGTGGGGATTCTGTCTGCCATGAAGAGATAGGGGTCTGCTAGTGGAACAGGCACCCTCATAAAGAGCCAACACACAAAATCTCATTCATAGTCACTCACCCTGGGCTCCAGCAGAGTTAGGGTGGGTCAGACTAAAGTCACACAAGGGGAGACTGGAGTTTGTGGCTCTGGGGAGAGAGCTGAAGTGTCAGCCACCAGGATCACTTCTCTGAGTCACTCATCCACACTCCAGACACCATATTTCTTGGGTGGAGCACTCGCCTCCATATAGCTTCAGCCTGGGAGAAATAAGACCTCCACCCTCTGAGCTATCTCTTTCCACCTATGGACCTTGTGTCCTGCTGAGGAATTACTTGCCTGGGCCTGGATATAGAGACTTCAGACTCAGGAGATGTCAGTGGCTGAGTTGTGTGGGTTTGAGATGGGGGTCATTCCTCTCACTTTTTGTAAACCTGACTAACACCTCCTTCCTCACAGGAGATCCACTAGGGAAATCCACTAACCCCAAACTCCTGGCTCAAGAGGCCCCACCCTTCTCACTCCTGGTGGCTCCATTCTTCTGAGGTCCAAGCAGAATACAAGAAATTGAGATGGTCGGTTCTGGGGAGGGGGCCACTTTCCCTACCTCTAGTTCCAGCCTGACTGGCAAGTCCCCTTACAGGACATTCACTAGCCTCATGTCTCCATCTCGTCTCCTTGCTGAGATTGGGCTCCTGGAAGAATCTGGGCCAGACCGAATTGTGTAACTCTAGGACAAGGGCCATGTTTGCCCTGCACTCCTAACCAGTGCAGAGCCTTTCCTTCACAAGGCCAAATCTTGGTCTGTTTGGGTCTGATAATTCTTCTAGCCTTACCCTGATGACTCCATGAGACCTGACCCAATGACAGATATGTGCACTATCAGTGGGTAAAAGCTGGACTTGGTATACCCTGGGACATATACTGAGTGGCTTCAGGCCCAACACTGGCATCGAGCTGGAACCTCTATCAATCTGGTGAACACAACTCAGCCCTACATGATGACTCACTGAGAACCTGCTTCCTGTGGTTTGAGTACTGCTGGAGGTTTATTACTGACTGAGCCTAAAAGGTAGCTGGCAGATGGTGGCTGTTGGAGGCAGATCTTTGGGTGCTTTAACTTTTGTTGACCGGCTCCCAGCCCTGTGTTGGTAAAAACCAGTTTTGGTGTACAGTTTGGTCTCTTCTTCACACACACACAGGCCCAGCAGAGGCAGACACTATCTATGCATTGTTTTGTAACTCTAAACTGGTCGCCCAGGGCCAGTCACAGGAAGCATCAGGTATTGGTCTAAACCAGAATACCTTCCAGGAGGCCTCAGAAACAACAAGCCCGGTGGCTGGTTTCAGAAAACATCTGGGTTAGATCCAATAACCTTCAAAAGAGACATATCCAAAGAGAGATATACGCAAATAAATGAAACTAGATTACCACCCTATACCATACACAAGGATAAATGTTGGGCTTGAAGCTATAGAAATATGGGAAGAAAACATAGGTATAAAATCTTGGACATTTCTTGTAGCAATATTTTTTTTCTGATGTATGTCCTTGGCAAAGAAAGCAAGAGAAAATAAACAAGTGGAACTAAATCAAACTAAAAAGACTTTGCACAGCAAAGGAAACCATGAACAAAAGAAAAACAACCCACTGAATGGAAGAACATATTTGCCAATAATACATCTGATAAGGGGTTCATATCCAAAATATAAAACTCAACATCGAAAAACAAACTACCCAATTTAAAAATGGGTGAAGGACTTAAATAGAGACTTTGGTCATTTGAAAGGACAATAGAAGATGCATGGATGGCCAATACACATATTAAAAGATGATCAATGTCAATAATAATCCAAGAAATGCAAATTAAAACCACAATGATGTATCACTTCACACTTGTCAGAATAGCTATCATCAATAAGTCAACAAACAACAAGTGTTGGTAAAGATGTGGAGAAAAGGGAACCCTAGTGCAAATGCAGATTAATACAGCCACTCTGGAAAATAGTATGGAGGTTTCTCAAAATAGTAAAAATGGGACTGCTTTATAACCCAGCAATTCTACTTCTGGGAACACATTGAAAGATACCCAAAATGCTTATTTGAAAGAATATGTTCACTTCTGTGTTCAGTGCAACATTATTTACAATAGTCAAGGTTTGGAAACAACCCAAGTGCTCATGAGTATATGAGTGGATTAAAGAGCTGTGGAACATTTATGCAATGAATACTATTTGGCCATTAAAAAAAAAAAAGAAATTTTAACTTCGTGACAGCATTGATGGACCTGGAGAGTATGACAAGTGAAATAAGCCAGTCAGGGAAAGACAAATACCATATGATTTTATTTATGTGTGAAATCCAATGAACAAAATAAACTTATAAACAAAACAGAGACTGACTCATAGATACAGAGAACAGACTGATAGCTGTCAGAGGGGTCGGGGGGATGGGAGGCTGGGTAAAAAGGTGAAGGGATTAAGCAAAAAAAAACAAAACCCTCATAGACGTAGATGACAGTATAACAATTGAAGAAAAGAGGATTGGGGAGAGAAAGAAGTGGATAAAGGGCAGATAAATGGTGATGTAAGGAGATTTGACTTTGGGTGGTGAACACACAACACCTAGATGCCATATTATAGAATTGTACACCTGAAACCTATATAATTTTATTAACCATGTCACCTCAACAAATGTAATAATAACAATTTTAAAAAAGAATTAATTCACAGATGTCATGTACACTATTTACTCAGTTTTCAAGAATGGAAACATCTTGCAACACTATAATAGAGTATCATAGAAAAGATATATTGATGGAGTCAAGATACAGAATATTTCCCACCCTTCATTTTGCCTTTTTATAGCCTCGTCCAGTTCACTCTCAGTCATACTCTCTTCTAATCTCTGCCACCACTGATCTGTTTTCCATTCCTATAATTTTCTCATTTCAAGGAAAACATTGTGGTAATTTTGAGGGGAGGGTGGGGTGATTGGAGGTGGAGGAAGGTATAAGGGGAACAAACGGTGATGGGAAAAGTAATTAAATAAATAGATATTTTAAAATAATTATTGGTAAAAAGAATGCAGTATAAATGAAATTACATAGTGTGTTGTTATCTTTGGGGATTGGCCTTTTGTTCCCCCATCAGCATAACGTTCTTAGGTCCATCGACATTGTTTTGTAAATTGATAGCTAATTTTTTATAGTGCTGAGTAATGTTCCATGGTATGTGTCTAAAGTTTCCCTAACCATTTATTGAAGGACATCTTCATTATTCCCAGTTTATGGTTATTACAAATAAAACTACTATGAACATCAGAAAAATAAAGCAAGTGATTAATTAGAAAGTTTTTATTTGTGGGAATATATATGTGTGTTTGTAAGTATATATGCACACACACCTGGAGGTGATTACTACAGATATAGATTAAAATTCTTTTATCCAGTGGTAAATTATGCCAAATATTAACATTTTAAAGACATAATGTAACACGTATCACAACTTCTGACCACCCACAATATTATCATTATTAAATATAGTAAATATGTTTCTATTTAACTTAGTTTTTATGCTTTTGATTGGCTCATATCCTTTGGAATTCAAAATCCATATTATGAAATATATAGAATTATATTATTACAACTGCTATCACTCATTGGAAATGTACTTTTCTAAGCTAATTCATATGATTAATCTCTCAGATTGTTCTGTGATGTTGCACTGGTATAAAATCTTATTGGGAATATCTGGAACAGTAAATGGTATTCTGGTTTTGACTTTTATCTCCTTGGCTTTGTTGGGTAAGTTTAAATTTCTTTAATTATATGAATATATGAAAATGTGTACTTTTTATGTCTTCTTCATATCAGGTCTCATTTCAAGTTCATTCTTCCTCATATTAATATTTAATAAGAAGTTATTAATGGAGACAACTGTACTTGAACAACAATAAAAAAATAAAATAAGTAAAAATAATAGTAATAATAAAGAAACTGCTATGTATAAAGTCATATATTATATACTTCATAGTAATGTATTTAATATGCCATCAAATCAGATATGTACTTGTCCTTAAGTAGCATACAGTCTGATAGGACAAAAGTGTGTGTGTCTGTATGTGTATATTTGAGGTGAATATTTATAAAGCATATGTTTTTATTTGTCAGCATTTTGGAAATAGATAAATATCCATAATTTTCTTATACATTTATGTAAGATTATATTTAGTTTACTCTTGCCTTTTTTCCAATAAATACTTACTGAGCACCTACTATACCACAAATATTACTACAAATTTCCAAAGTTGAAGAAAGGAATAATCATGTTGAGGAAGCCATATTCTAGTGGAAGGCATGGATTTTAGATTAATAATTATGCTAGAGTGAGCTAAAATAGTATCATAAGGTTCAGCAAAACATTTGAAAGCATAGAAAAAGCATGTGTATGTCCTAGAGCAAGAACTTTGTTTTACTTTTCAATTTTTAGAACAATGCCAGCACCAAATAGATCCTTAACAAATATATATTATATAAGTGAATTAATTATATAATTTTTGAAATAGTTTTTATTAGACATGAACATAAAGAAGAAACTTTCTAATTATCCTTTCAGTGATTTCTCATTCTAATTATCAGAATCATTCTAAAGAATCTGTCTCTGAGATATTGTACAGAGAAGATATTTACCCAACCTTAAATTAATCCTGTTTTCAAGTTTCTCAAGGAGTGTTGCTAAAGTGTCCAAAAGGAAATAATTCAAATAACACCCAGGATGATATCAGAAATCTGAAAATGAATAGTGACACAAGAGGAAATATAAGTAATATAGATGTGGACCGCTGTGTTTCAAGTGCTACAGACCATAGAGGTATCTTTCAAGTCTTTCACCGATACTTGTCTTAATCTTTTGGAACTTCTAAGTTTGAAATATCATATTAAGCACACAAAATTACTTCTTTTTAATTGAGGTAATATTCACAAACATAAAGTAAATCATTTAAAATTAAACAATTCATTGGTATTAGGACATTCAGATGTGCAACCACCACATCTGTCAAGTTCCAAAACATTTTCATCAGCCAAAAAAGTTTCACACCCAATAAGTTATTACTCCCCCATTTCTTTGCTCTTCATCCCCTGGAAATAACTAACCACTTTTCTGTTGCTATAGATTTACCTATTCTAGATTTTCATGTAATTGAATGATATACCATTGGGCCTTCTGTGTCTTGATTTTTTTTGCTTAGTATGACATTTTGATGTTCATCCACATTATAACATGTATCAGATTGTTATTCCTTTTTATCACTAAAAAAAAAATCTTCCAATATATTTATATAATACAATTTGTTTAAGGTGGCTATACTAACCAAAGTGAGCTACGGATTCAAAGAAATCCTTATTAGAATTCTGATGAACTCTTTTTGAAGAAATAAATGAGATGATCTTAAAATTCATATGGAATTGCAAGGGATCCTGAATAGCAAAATCAATCTTAAAAAAGAAGAACTAATTTGGAAGATTCACATTTTCCAATGTCAAAACTTACTACAAATGTGCAATAATCAAAACAGTGTGGTATTGGCTTTAGCATAGACATATAGATCAAGGAAATGGAATTAAAGATTCAGAATTAGGTCCATACACCTCTGGCCAAATGACTTGACTAGGGTACCAAACCATTCAATGTGGAAAAAACAGTCGCTTTAACAAATGGGGCTAGGCCACCTGGACAGCCAGATACAAAGATTAGACTTGGACACCTACCTCATATGGTATAGAAAAATAAATTTAAAATAGATTAAAAACCTAAATGTTAAGATCTATAAAATTTTTACAAGGGAAAATAATATAAATCTTCAGAACCTTTGGTTTGACAATGATTTCAAATATGGCATCAAAAGGACAGGTGACAAAACAAAAAATAGATAAAATTAATACCATCAAATGTAAAAACTTTAGTTTATCAAAGGATATTATCAAGAAATTAAAGATAGCACACCAAATAGGGAAAATATTTGAAAATCATATATCTAATAGATATGTAGTATCCAAAATAAACAAAAAAAACATAACTCCAAAACAAAAACAACTCAATAAAAAATGGGCAAAAGATGCAAAAAGACACTTCTCCAAAGAAACTAAACAGAAGGATAGTAAGCACATGAGAAGCTGCTTACCATGATTAATTAGAAAATAGGAGATCAAAACCACAATGGGAAACCATTTCACACCCTCTAAGGTAGATATAATGAAAAAACACAACAAGTATTGGTGATGTGGAGAAATTGCTCATACATTGCTGGTAAGGACATAAATGGTAAATGATGCAACACTGTGAAAAATAATTTGCTAGTTTCTAAGAAAGTTAAACATAGAATTATCATATAACCCAGCAACTCAAATCTTAGGTATATACCAAAAAGAATGGAAAACATATGCCCACACAAAACTTTATACATGATTATTCATAGCAAGATTATTTGTAATTATCAAGCACAGTCCAAAATGTCCATCAGCTGATAACTGGATAAACAAAGTATGCTACCCTCATGTGGTAGATATTGATACCATAAAAAGGAATGAAGTATTGATACATGCTTCATTTGAATGAACCCTGAAAAGAGAAAAAAACCAGACACAAAAAACTACACATTATCCTATGTCTATGAATGTTCATTATGGTCAAATCTATAGAAACAGAATAGATTAGTGATTGCCAAGGCCGGGAATGGGGAGAACGGGTAGTTAGTTGCTGCTTAATGTTTATAGGGTTGTATTTTTTGGGTAATAGAAATATTCTGGAATTAGATAGCAGTTATGTTTAAACAACACTGGATGTACTAAAATCCACGGCTTTTGCTTTTTTAAAGAGTAAATGTTGAATCTTATTTTACAAAAATTTTACCTCAGTTAAAAAAGGAGATTATAATGGCTACAAGTTTGGATTGTTATATTTGCTTATAGTTATATTTTTATATATACTTCACTTATCCTCATTTTTATGCCAAAAGTTGCAGAGATGTTCACCTTGAGACTTCAATTTAATTTTAATTTAAGAAAATCAAAAGTCTTGATGCAGTTGCAATTACAAAGAAGTTCCAGTTACAAAAAGGTTGAAAAATTAATCTCAATGTTATTTAATAACAAAAGGAAGATATCAAAAGAGATTACACACAAAAAATAAGGATAGAGATTCTAAAACTTTACATGGATAAATTCAAAGAAAATTGACATAGATATTATTCTAATTTTTCAAATAATAATGCAATATATATCTTAATTTGTTCATGTTATTTAATAATTATATTAGGTCATAGCATGAAAAGAATTTCTTTATGTCTAGATTTTGCTTTATCTTACTAAATTAATTTTCTTAAGTCCCAAGATTTATTATACATATTTTTAACACTGTGAGTCTGAACACTTTATGATGAGTGATTTTATTACAGCTACATTCTTATTCACATAACACATAAATATCTTCAATGTCAATTTTCAGAAATACACTTGTAATTTAACTTCTCTTTGTTTTCCCCATTACTCTATAGGATTGTGCCCATCAGAGTGGCTCAAATATCAAGGAAAGTGTTATTGGTTCTCTAATGAGTTAAAAAGTTGGCCTGACAGTTATGGGTATTGTTTGGGAAGAAAATCTAATCTACTAATCATTCACAACCAACTGGAAATGGTAAGTAGTTTAGTGTTATGGTTATGGAATTAACCTCTTTATATTTCAAAATGGCTTTTCTGAAATTTCTTACCACTCTTCTATTAAATTATCATTTTCTTGATGACTGAGTTTTGCAGGCCTTTGAAAATTTAGTGCTCAAAGCCAGTGCCTCCCTTTGGCTCATTCTAGTCCTGATCTGAATAAGGATTCAATTTGCAAGTAGAATATGTGTATGTATATAATGTAATATGCATAAATAATATATGAATTAGTTAGTATAAGAATTCTTATCTGGAGTGCTAGTAGTCCAATATTCCAGTAAATTCTAAAATCTTATTTAGTATGTCTGAATTATTAAAATATTTTGTTCATTTAGTTACACATTACTCACTTTTTAGGCTTTTATACAGAAAAACCTAAAACAATCGAACTACGTGTGGATTGGGCTTAACTTTACCACCGAGAAGAGGACATGGAACTGGGCGGATGGTTCTCCATTAGCTTCAAAGATGTGAGTCTTTACTAAAAGGCAATCTGATTTATTGTCTATTGCAAAACTTATCTTCAACAACATCTCTAAGTTCACCAAAATCAACTCTGAAGTAGTTCTTGGTACTAAAGAATTTGAAAGGGCAAAAAATAATTTAATGCTTACTGAAGTAACAATGAATATTTTGGTTTGGTTTTCAAAGCAAAACAACTCAAAAACAATAATGGTTGGGCTATTATTATTTAAAAACTATGCATAACTTACATGAAAAGGTGGACCAAACCAAGGTGCTCTTGTGTTTTCAAAATTCTCAATGTTTACTTTAGCCACCTTTAGTAATTAAAAAAAGATCTGTATACATTTTTGGTATTATATGATTGATATCATAACATTAAAAGGCAATGAGAAATATAAAACAGAACAAAATAATACAAAATATTCTCAGAAATTACATGAGATTATTGAGGACTTAAACAATTTTATCCACATTTTTGTGTTTATATACATTTTATAATAAAATTTTAATTATAAGTACAAATAGTAAAACCAGTAAATTCAAGTTTTATCCCTATGTTGGCAGACAGAATTATGATCCCAAAGATGTCCATATCCTAATCCCCAAACCCTGTGAACATATTACCTTGCATGGCAAAAAAGACTTCAAGGATATGATGGAGTTCTCCATCTTGAGATAGGAACATTATGCTGGGTTATTCAGGTATATAAACACGAGTCCTTACAAGAGGGAGAAAATAGGGCCAGAGTCAAAGAAGGGGACGTAAAGATAAATACAGGTCCAAGTGATAAAATGATGACCAAGGATTACATGTGCCTCTAGAAGCTGCAAAGGACAATGAACAAATTCCCCTCCTGGTGCCTGCAGAAGGCAGCTCTCTAGACATTTGATTTTAGTCCTATCTAAAACTTCAAGATAACAAATTTTTGTTGCTTTAAGCCAGGAAATTTGTGGTAATTCATTTTAGCAGTGATAAGAAACTGATATACTGTATAACCAATTAACCAATTAATGAAACCATTGTGTTAACTTTCCATTCACCCTTACTTTGTCATTAAATATTATTTATTTTCTATTTCACTGCATTAAATTAATCAATCTAAGCAATTCAGCTGAAGACATTATTGGAGTGGAAAATAAAATTATGAGTGGGTGTCATCTGAGGGCAGAGTTGTATCACTGAACGTTACCTGATAGATCACTTACGAAGGTGCTAACCTAGGTGTTTTTCCAAGCCAAATCCTGTAAGATTTAGTTTTAACTTTAGAACATGCCTTGCGATTTTTGTTCAAAATAAGTTCAACACACAAGTCAAACATAAACATGGGCATAGTGTATTTCCAAGGTGAGACTCCAGTACTTATTTGCCCCTTAGTCATTTGGAAGTTTTTATGACTTTGTGCATCTTTTCCATGCTATTTCTTAAACTTTTTCATCAGTTCAAATAAAATTCTTAGCAGAATAAAATCACTAATTACAGTATTTAATAGATAACTTTATTATTGTTTTTGTCATGTTTCTTTATGTATAAATGATACAAAAATGAATAATTTATTTAGATTTTATATGAATCAGTTTTTGTAATGAATTCTTTACAAACGTCAATTCATCTAACCTCATAATACTGTTATGAGACAAATATTATTAAGACCATTGCACAATTTGATATGAGAAGCCAATGAATGTTAAGTAAGCTGTCCATGTGACTTACTCTTTTTTTCTTTAAGGGGTCACATGGAGCAATGCAAAGAATACTAGAATATGAATGAGGGCACCCATTTATTCTCAGATGTCATTTGTAAACAAACTCTTTGAGGATTTTCTGCCTATCAGGAACAGTAATGCTAAGTTACAGAGATAACTGTAAAGTTTAGTGAGTGAAGGTATTTGAAAACGTCTTGAAATTTTGCATTACCTTTTAATTCAGGGAGTGTATTAGCTGCAAACACAAATGGACTTTTTCAGAAACAAAGATCAAGAATGTATTCATCCTCTCTCCTGCAGAGTCTTCATAAAAGGAACCACGAGGGAAGACAGCTGTGCTGCCATCAAGGGAAGTAAAATTTACTCTGAAACCTGCAGCAGTGTTTTCAAATGGATTTGTCAATGTTAGAATTTAAAAAAAATGAATAGTGCAATAATAAATGATCACATTGTTTGCCTATTAGATTCTAATATTAATCTTTAAGAGTAAGAATTTAAAACTGCAGTTAAACACCTCCATTTTCCCTTCATCACCTCCATTGACCTAGCCTCAGAATAGCCCCTGTTAACAATCTAAAATACACTTTTTCAATTTTTAATTATGTATTGTAAGGACATGCACCTGTGTTGACGATTTTTATTCATTGTTTTCATTTACAAAAAATGTTATTAAATGATGTCTGCATTTTTTGTATTTTGCTTTTTTTATTATTAACAATATCCTATGAAATTTTGTGTAATTCTGAGTCGCATTGTAGTGAGGAACTATAGATTCTTTACTCTTTAATTGATAAGTATTAACATTGTTTTCAGGATTTTGTTAATATAATCTATGTTTTAATAATTATTCTAAATATTTTCTTAGATAATAGCACTTTTATTTTTATGATATAAACCTTAAAATGGGAAATTCTGGTTAAAAATGTTAAATATGTTGTTTGTTTACTTTAGATTTTGTATAAATTTTGTATAGACTTAGCATCTATTACAAATTTTTAAGAAGATTATTGGTACAGAAAACAAAACAAACCTTCCTATGAATCTCTTGAGATTTAGTTGCCGAGCTGATGTATTTTATTATGAAATTTCAAGTATCCTTGCATAATGTAATTATACTTCCTACAAAAAATATTCTACTTAATCACAATACAATGATCAAAATCAACATTAACATTGACACAGTACTACCAATTAATTCTCAGGCTACCTCCAGGGTTTGCCAATTGTCAAAGTAATGTTCTTTAGAGTAAAACATACAGTTCAAGGGTCTATTTAATCTCCTCCTATCTAGAAGAGTTCCTTAGCCTTCCTTGACATTTAGGACCTTGACATTTGAATACTACAAGCTGATTATTCTGTAAAATTTTCTTCAATGTGAATAAATTGAAAAAAGTGACACTCATGAGAATCTGCCTGATTATAATGCCTGCCACATAATAGGTGATCAATAAATATTAATTGAGTTGATTTTGATAGTTGTTATAAATAAAAGTTGCATGATACTTATGGGAATCTGTGTGATTATTTCTCATGGTTATATTCAAGTTATACCTCCTTGGCAGAAATAGCAGAGAAGTGAAACTGTTACTGTAGGTACAATAGTAAACTAGTTATTAATGAAAGAAAAAGAGCAAAGGGAGTTAGACAGTGAACGTAATAAATTGAGGAACATGAGCTTGTTTGCTTTACCAGGAATCTATAGCTTCACGGCCCGAGGGGTTACAACATTACTCCAGCAAAAGGATTAGCACTCCTTCTTTACCCCTCTGGTACCAGATTGTTGGAAGGTACAGGTGGAGTTGCTGAACCAAAGAGGCCTGTCAGTCTAGCTAGGGGGTATATCCACAACAAAGCCTGCAAAAGCTTAGGAAATTCATTGGTTATTTTGAGGAAGTACTTGGTCTATCCCAATCCAAACTAATATATGAGGAGAAACCCAAACTCCCCAGAATTTATTTATTAAAGTTATGTCTTTATTCTACATGTTAAAATTCAAGCCACCTTCACAGTACTCTCTATTTGATGCAATACACCTATCGAGACATTTTTCCACTGCTCAAAACAGTCTTTGAACTCATCGATTTTGTTGCTTTAGTGCTTGTGCCACTTTTTGTTCCACCTCTTCCACATCGGCGAAACGTTTCCCTTTGAAGATTTTTTCTATTGGAGAAACAAACAAACAAAAAAAGTCGCTCAGAGCAAGACTGGGTAAAGAAGAGTAAGGCATGGGGTCATGGTATTTTTGGTCAAAAATTGCTGAACACTCAACGTGGTATGGGCAGGTGCACTGGTAAATCATGAAATAAGCAAACACATTCAGTGAGTCTATACAAAAATTCACTGAAGCAGAACGCAGACTCTCACCACAATGCAAGCAGGTGCACTGATAACAGATGGGTTCCTAGAACACTCAGCTAATGGGGGAAGCCTGTATTACAAGGGGCCGGTCCTTCAGAAGATAATTCCAGTTTTTCTTTTGGATCCCCTGCCCCCATCATAACACACACATATTAAAGCTCAGTCTTTTGGAGCCCAGGAACAAAGAAACACACACACACACACACACACACACACACACACACACACACACTCTCTCTCTCTCTCTCTCTCTCTCTCTTTCTCCCTCTCTCTCTTCCCCCTCTTCTCTCCCTCCCACAAGGTAATTCTTTTGCCCTCTGCATTCGAATGTGTTGGCACCCAGGAGCATGTGACCATGTGGGTCTGGCAGCTACTGGGGCTTGCGGCAGACTGCCTGGGCTCCGAAAGACTGAGCTTTAATATGAAGCAGAATCTCTGGACCTTGGTTTTTGTTTTGGCTTTCAGGGCACAATCAGACTTTTTCCACGGTAAGATGTAGAGAAAAGGGACATTGGAAATCCAGGGGGCAACTTCTATTTCCACCCAAATAAACCTTGGCACACCACAGTCTCCTGTGCGTGGATTCTTGTAGTGCCCTCCTAGTAATTAGATGTGGATCTTAGTTCCCACCACCACCAACAACAAAAAAACCCCAAACCACAAAAAACTGTGTTAATGCATCCTTTCAGATGCTGCAAACTTACTTGTTCCATAATTGATCCTTTTCACCTTATTTACATGATTAATGTGGTATTTAACACACTTCACTAGACAGTCACTCTTTCTCTTTGTAATTAATATTTGTAGGGAGTGACCAAGATATCCTTATCATCCTCCTCAGCTTGACTAAACTTTAGCCTAGTTTTCATTCTGCCTGACCATGCACCCTGCTTCCTTTTTTTTATTTTTTATTTTTAAGAACATCTACTTTAGAAACTTGTAACTGGAAATTCTTTCTCTGTCCCTTTGAGATGTAAAAAAAATTTAAGCCTTTTGAAGATTTCACAGCCCAGAAATGTTTTTCTCAAGTGGCTGAGAGTTATCCTTTTGAAATGTAATCAAGAAAGACAGAATCCTTATTTCTCACTTTTGGAGGTGTGGGAGCCTAACTTTATTGGTCACCTAGTTCCAAATTGTAAAACTACCTTGTTTTATGAAGATCTGAGAAAGTTCCATTTTCCTTTGGGTAAAGCCACGTAACAAACACAGAGGTGTATGATCTCTTCCCTCATTCTAGCTCTTAAAAATCTTGCTGCCCTTTATATCAGCAAATTTTAGTTCTGGCTGAGTTCTGGCCTATCTCTTCTATTTCAAGAGCCTTGAATAAGGTCTTTATTTCTTGTGTAAGATGGTTGCATGCAATTTTTGCTTTGACAGAGGCACTTCTAAATTTTGTAAATATTCCATTCATCATTAAAATTTCAACTTGTTCATTTTTGTATTGGCTCCTTTGTGGAATTCCATTTTCACATTTTGTTCAATGGATCATAGTCTCCTATTTTGATGATAGAATTGTTCCAGATCTAGTCATGAGTTATCCTTCTAGGTGACATCTGTATGCCTGATCATCATAATTCTTTGCTGGCTTGTAGTTTGTTTGTTTGTTTTTTTGTTTGTTTTTTAATAGTAATAACCTTAGAAGAACACCAGTAATCATTTTTGCCAATCTTTGAACTGGCCTTTATGTTTGAGCTCAGCTATTTTCAATTGGTGTGCTGCAAGAATCTTGAAAGCACATGATACCTGACTACTTAGTCAGGGGCACTGACCTCTTTTTCTTTTTCCACCAGCTTTGCATGTAATCAGCTGCTCCCCCTGTCTGGGACTGAAACAACCATATGTTTATGCCTAACACCTCCATAGTGGTAGCAATAAAAACAGTCCACATCAAGACCTGGGACTCATCGGTGTTCACAGTTTTTCTGCTGCAGTTCTGTTTGTGTTGTAACACCCTTGAAAAGAGTGGACCTCATTCTCTTTCCTCCCTTGACACCTTGTCTTACCTTTCCTCTCCAAGGTGCTACCCCCAAGCCTCCCGGGTCAGGGGCGCTGACCTCTTTCCCCTGAGACTGTGAAATTTAAAAAGAATGACAACTGCCAACATAACAATAACTCTCTGGTGTGAATGAATCAAAATCATATCTATTTTTTATCAGATTAGCAAAAAATATATTTTTTGTTTGTGGAAGAATTTTTGTAATTAGCGTATGTGTGCCATGAGATGAAAAAGGTTGAAAATCACTCTTCTAGCCTGAGTCATACACATTAATAAAATAATTATCCAGAGAAATATAAACATAAAACTTTTTTCCAAATAATTTGCTTTTCTTTGTATCTTTCAAAATATTATATATATATTTTTTCTCTCCTTATCTAGTATTTAAGCTCCATATGGGCAAGTGTTGTGTCCTATTTGGATATCTGTTGTGTCTTCATTATTTAAAGCAATGACTGAAACACAGTAAGTTCTGAATAAACATTAGTGGAATTGATTTTGAAAGGTGCTATAAATAATAGTTGCATAATATTTATGATAATATAAAGTAGGAGGACCTGATGTTGTCACTGAATTCAGCTATTTTATTAATTATGTTATCAACAAACTTGTATCTGGAGTAGAATTAAGTAGAAAAAGGAAGAAACTTACTTAGCTCCAGATAAAGCACCAATAGATTAAAAAAAAAAAAAGCCTTTGGAGTTTAGTGAGTATGTTGTGCTTTTTAAAAAAGGTAAAGAGAGTAAATGTTACTGGGAGCCAAGATAGTATAAACTGGGTGTGAAACGTGGGTGGAAAATATGAGGAGTCAGTCATGCCATGTATTTCCACTTTCATTTAAACAGCATTTGGAAGCCAGTTAGCAGAGTAGCTTGGTCAGTTTTGAGTTTCAAAATCATTACTCTAGCTACATTATGGGAAAATGAAATATGAGGAAGTGGATACTTAAGAGTCTTCCGTATTAGGCAAGAGATGATGTACTAGGACAAAAACTTTGAAGATAAAGAGATGAAATTGAAATATAAATATTATTTATTGATTGACTGAAATGGTAGATGAAGAAGAAATCAGTGTTAAGGAAAATACCAGGTTTCTGATTTTATTCAAGTAGTTGGATAGCGGCTCCATTTAATGCACCGATGAGAACCTGACTGGGGGTGGGGACTATAAATTAAATTTCAGACATTCAGAGTAAGATATAATTTAGACATTGAAGTGGAGTATGAAGTTAGATGTTAAATCTGGAACTCAGAGAAAGTTTCATTGTTAGTATGGAAGTTTGGGATCCTTTAGAGTAGATATTGAGCCCCATATGTAAATTAGATTGCCTAGGGAGGGGTACAATTGAAGAAGAAAAGAAGTCCTAAAACAAGAGGAAGGCTAATATATACACAGCAGAGACAGATAAAAGTGTCCTGAAATCGCAAAGAGCAGAGAAGTCAGGGAGCAAGGAGAATCAAAAGGGAATATGGTATCACAGAAATTTTGGAAAACAGCATTTAAAGAAGAAGGAAATAGAAGGTAAATATTAAATCCGTCTTGAGAGGACACTAGAGCTATTCGATGAATCAATCGCCAGGTATAGCTATACTGATAGGGGTGACTCAGTGAGCATGGCTCCTGTGCACACCTGTGGTATGATGGGTAAAACTAGGTTAGGCTGGACAGATATGCACGGAGGATATATTTTCTTTAATTTAAAGAAGAACCTTGAAACAAGAAAGGGATATTCTAGCTCCGACATGAATCTGAGAAAGATGGGACACGGAAATAAAATAAGCTGATCTTGAAAATAAAATGTCTTAGTTTGCTAGCAATCATGTAACAAAGTATCACAAATCACATATTTAAAAACAAATTTATTGTCTGTATTTCCAGAAATGGAAGTCACAGATCAAGTTGTCTGCTAGGTCATGTTCTTTCAGATGCACAATCCTTCCTTGCCTCTTTTACCTAACAAAAGAGAAATAAAAAAGAACTAACTTAAAAATTGTATTAACGAAAACTAGATAAAACATTGCTAATGTTGAAATGTTAGACATTTTCCTTAAAATGTGCAACAAGTCAAGAATAGTCGCCATCAATATTTTCTTAGCAGTCCTTTTTAATTAGACAAGAAGTAATAGTTATAAAACAAAAAAAAAATAAAACTTATTAGACACTGTATTTTGCAGCACTTAACATAATCCACAGATTATTAGAAATTACAAGAGATTTCAGTATCAATGTTGAACAAAATAATAACCAAAAGCAGTTATATATGTATATAGAGACAAATATTTTAAAAGATAATAAAATTACATAATGCCAATAGCAAAAGTAAGGATGCATGTAGTAAATAGTTTTCAGTAACTGTTTACAAAAATTGTAAGTTATATAATAAGACAAAAATCAATACAAGATACACATTATAAATTAATAAGAAAATAATCTTATAAATACCACACTCCCAACATTGATCTGTAGAATCTATGAAATTATAAGACTTTTCTAAAGTCTATATAGAAAAACAAAGATTCAAGCCATCTGTAAAGTAAAAAAATGTTGAAGAAATTTACTTTAACAAAAATGAATTTATATGTAGGAAAAGGAAAAAGGTTACAGATATCAAAACTATATTACCCATGCACTGGCTAATGTGGCTTACTGGACTGAGTGCTGGCCTGTGAACCAAAAAGTTGCTGGTTCAATTTACAGTCAGGGCACATGTCTGGGTTGTGTGTGGGCCAGGTCCCCAGTTGAGGGCATGCAAGAGGCAACCAATCGATGGTTCCCTCACACATTGATGTTTCTCTCCCTCTCTTTCTCCCTCCTTTCCCTTCTTTCTAAAAAAATAAATAAATCTAAAAATATAAATAAAACTATATTATCCATGGTTATAGATCAGTCATTAAAAATATTTACCTAGTGCTTTTTTCCTTTCTGCAAATAAATTTTCTTTCATTGTAGCATCTAGCTGTTGCAACACCATCATCACTGAGGTAAGCGCATTTTTCACTTCCTCTCACTTCAAATCTGCAATAGAGGAGATTAAACACTATGTGCTAGGGAGTTCTATAAATTCTTCCTTGCCCAATAACATCTTTTAAAAATATCTGAGTCCCAAAAAAGTGTATTGTCACAAAGTATTTTCTTGCCAGAGTTAAGATATTTGTACTACATTGGACCATAAGAGCCTGTCTTCAAAAATTTATATTTGTTAAAATGATAATTAAATGTTACATGTAATCAGTGGAACTATCAATTCATATACACCCATGGTTTTAAGCCCAGGGCAATTTTGCCTTCCCCCTGCTCCTCCCAAGGGACACTTGGCAATAACAGGAGACATTTTTGTTGTCACAAATGAAGGGAGTAGAAGCCAGAGATGCTGCTAACATCCTATGATGCACAAAAAAGTGCCCTCTCCCTACAACCAATAATTATTTAATCTATTGAGTCAGTTGAGAAATCTAATATAAACTAAGTGGTAAGGTGGCTGGCACTCATCATTTGGGGTGGTCATACTAAGATCATGTGTGCAGTGAACTCAGGTATTGAGATCCAATTTTTCTTAGTACAAAATGGGAAATACAAAGGCCAGGATAAATTGTGTATCAATGCAAATAAAATCAGCTTAAAATAAACAACACCTTTACCATGAACTGTAAACAGGTAGCATAAAGCTTGAAAAATAAATATAGAGTTGGAGAAGATAAATAGAATAAGACAAACATTTAATTTTTTTGGACTGTGTTTATGAATCTTAGGTCTTTATTTTCCAAATAACCAACTAGGAGATCTTCCCCTTGTATCTGGATTTCCAAACGCTCTGGCTGACTTGGAGCTAACTCAATACATGATACAATCTCCCCATTTCATCTTTTCAACATTATCTCAAATCTTGGGCTCTATAGAAATGTAGCTACTGCACAGGTTCTTCTGGTTGCACTATCTAAATTTAAATAATCCCAGAAAGAAAAAACACTCACAATTGGTTAAATATGCTTCCATTTACCCATTTTCCTGTTTGATTTCCTTTCATCTCCAACCCAATCCAGCGATCAGAAGTGCATTTGTGTGCTCTTAGAAAATCCTTTCAAAACAAAATAAATTTCATAATTTTACTTCTATTTTTTTACTAGCATTCAAGTCCTAGCTACATGAGAAACACATGATATTTTGAAAAACATATATTACCCTCAAACCTTGTTTTCTTTTTTGTGAAACAAAAATATGAGATAAATTTTCTTCAAGATAGTTTCTGATTCCAAATAGATAAATATTTGGTATAATATCATTTCTTCCAGGATTTTTAAATAATAAACTTATGGAAAGTCAGAGTTTGTCATGAAGCTCTTTGTAATCATCAGATATTTACTGTAATGGTTTTCCTGTTCCTAGTAATTACTAGTATATTGAGTTCATTGTATTTTACTTCAACTTCTCTTCCAAAATTATCACATATGCACACACACGTATGCTCACAAGCATAATATACATGCCCCTGATATTACTAGTTCTTTCAGAATTATCAAATTTTACTTTTTGCAAATATTTCAATTTTTAAAGGCATCATTCAGGGAAAATATAATTCTCCTGATATTTTTCCTTTTCTTCTTCTTATTCATTCAATGTTAAAATTTCTTGCTGCTTCAGAGCTCATTTTTACCATAGAAATATAGTGTATGTTAAAATTCACTGAGTCTCCTCTGCTGCTAAATACTTGGGAAACCATACGTTTTACATTATATTGCTCCATGTTTCAATTTTATGGTAAATATATGGGAATCATGACATCACAACACTTGCGGTTCATTTCTACCTAATAACAGTGACACTTAGTAACCTCTGGCATTTTAATATACCATCTTCTGCAATGTTTTATGAATTTATTGTTTAGGAGTTCAATTCATTGAGCTAAGCTATGGGATTACAAAGGAATAGATTAATAAAACATTCTCTCTGGATTTAAAATGATGTGAACATAGAGTTAGAAAATATCCTATTCTTAAGGAGAATATAATGAATATAATAAATGCAAATTAAAATTTGAGTTTACAGGAAAAAGTGTCTGGTCTTTATGGGAGATTTTCACATAGGATGTGCTTTATCAAAAGGGTAGATCTGGGAGAGGAGGTACCATGACAAACACAGGCAGCAAGGGAGAAAAGGACATTCATAGTCTAGACTTAGTAAAGAGCTTCCTTGAATGCAGAAAAATATATAAGAAAGAATAAATGTATTGGAAACTGGCTGGATACACACATACATATGTTATTGGATAATAAAATTGGATAATGTTTAGTAGGTGTGGTCTTGCTGACCATATTTTCTAGAGCCTGTTCTATGATAAATATTAACCATTATTTGTTCAACAAAGGGAGGCCCAAGAAACCCCTTGTTAATAATGCAAGATGATTTTAAGTAGATAGAAATAAGTACAAAAAATATTTCATGAAACAAGTTTTATCTCATTTAACTGAGAGTGACATTTTGTAATTTAAATAAATATATATTTTAAACTATTTTAAGTAAAGAGCCTTTTAAAATATATTACTTTTAACACTCCTTCACAGATAGGTTTACCACTTTTTGCCACTTAAATTTTGCCTAGATTATGTAGTACATAATAGGTTTCTATGATCTTCAAAATACATTAGGACATTGTATGATGTCTTTTTCTTTATCCAAACCTTATAATCATTCTTATCTGAAATATTTGAGGATTTCTTTTAAACTCAAAATTAATTATTTTTGTGTACTTCTGTTCCATGAGTTCTGTGATATTCACTACTTTTTTCAGTCATTGTCAACATGATTCCTTTAAGTACAGAGTTTAAAAAGTTTGTCTTGTTAATTATTGATCCCTTAAACATTTCATGAACACTTGTTATTTTCCCAGCTTGCTGCTAATTTAGCCTCTTTTCTCCCAAGAGGAAGTGTAAAAGACAATTGAAAGATTTCTCAGAATGTTTATTGCAGAAGTCTTGCAAAATTCAGTAGTGAAACTGTTGGCCACAGGACCTCTTCCCATTTAAGTGAGCCTGCAGATTTGATTTTTCTGGTTGCTCTTATCATACCTAGATTTTCACATCATTCAGGTTTCCATGCCTTTTCTTGCTTCCAAAATAGTTTAGTTTCCTTTAATTTCCTAACTTAAATTTGAACCAATCTTTAGGATAATCACATAAATAAATTTTGTTCACCACAGAAATAACACACAATTCTAACAATGTTGACTGCTATGGCTGTACTCTTCACATTTTAAGCACTCCTTCATTGTACATTATTCACAGATATATTTAAATCGTTACATTATTTCTTATATTGGGCCTTTTAAAGAGATTAACAAAAGCAGTAACACATGCTTACCACAGAAGTGACTTGGACAAGTAAATTTCCCAAGCTCAGAGCTACAGCGTTTCATAATCTCTTATTAAAGCTCTTGGGCATTCTCTTTACTCCTAAAATTTTTGCCATGTAAATTAGTATTTATTTAACGAAGATCCATTAAGCTTTCATTTGTGCCTGCCATTATGCTACAGCAAAAGATACAATTTCAAATAGAACATAGTGTCTGCTCACTGGAAGCTCATACTCTTCTAGGGTGAAACTTTTCATCACGTATCTATTGCACAGTGAGCCTGTGATGGAGGCTGCCATGGGGCCTCAGAGACAGAGAGCAAAGCAAGACGGAGACATCGGATGAAGATGGAATAAAGAATGCCCTGATTCCTGAGGCAATTTACTCTTTGTGGACTATTGGCTTTTAACTTTTCCAAATATTCTCAACCTCTTCTATTTATACTTTTTAAAATACAAAGATAACCATCAGGTTTACTACTTGGTGTAAGCCTTACACTGTTCAAAACAAAAATATCATCAGATATGTTCCATGGCATGTTATAAAAATCTTCAATATCCCATGTATATAAACAAGTATGTGTAAAAATGTTTTAAATCATAATAAAATAAGTATATTTTCAAAGCCTATGCCATAGAATTCATAATGAATGTGTATTCGATTACTTACCATTACTTCTGTAGTGTCAATCACGGTGAGGTCAGCATGTAGAGTAGAGCAGTTGTGTCTGCTTGAATTCCAATTATTTTCTTGTGTAGAGAAATAATAGCAATTATTTTGAAAACCAATCCATCCATCCGGGCAAAAATACTGAGTAGACAGATATGATATACCTGGAAATGAGACAAATACATATTTTAGGAACAAGATGAAATAATTTGCCTCTGTATTTGAGATTATTGGGGAAAGACAGGGTTGTGGTGTAAAAGATTATGATTATGGTTATGATTACAATTGCATATCCATCACTCAACAAGTTTTTTAAAAATTTCATGTTATGTTAAATGACAGCAGTTCAGGATTTGACAGACATGCATATTTATTTTAACTCTAACACATTGACATTCCAGAGTAGTCAGTGTAACTTGTGTTAATTTCACCTGTATTAGGTTGCCCTTGCCATTTCTGGGTAAATGAAATATAACAAAATCCTAGCATTATCTGCAAGTAATAAAATCACTAATTTATACTTAACTCTTAAGAATCTAGGAAATATGTTAAACACTATGGAAGCAATGAAAATAATAAAACAATATATAACTAAGAAGATATGTGTTGGATTTCCCGTTGTCAAGTAGGTACCACCCTCACTGTATGGTTCTGGGCAAACCAGTGTAAAACCACATGAGATTTGGAAGGTGGAGGTGAAGCAGAAGCCATTATTCTTAGAGACCTTGGGCATGGGAAGTTCACACGCCTTTTCCTCTTTCCAGTCTTGACAGCTAGATGTGTTAGCTTCCTCTAATCTTTCCTCTAATCTTTGGTTTCTCCAAACACATTACTGCTTTAAGCCAAAATTTTTAGTTACTATTACTCCTCTAGTGATAGAACCTTCCAGACCATCGGTCCCCAACTCCTCCCACAATCATGTGATCCCTAATTCCCATAATAGAGTCCTAGTCTTGAAACATTTGCAGCGTCATCTTTTCTGAACACACACAGACAGAACCAATTTTTGGTACCAAAAGTGGTTCTGAAGAAACAACCTTAAGGATGAGATATCATCATTTTGGTTTTCCCGTGTCATTTGCCTTAAAGGCATTCATCTAATTACCAGTTGTAAATGAGATGCTGATGATTAAGGGTGCACAGAGGTAAAACAATTGATTGAATTATCATCTATAGTCACTTGATGCCAAGTGCTTATAACACCTTTCTCTTAACCACCGATATAACAATGAGCAAAAAGTATAAAAATAATGACATCAGACTCAGATAGAAAATGGCGGAGGAGTGAATGGGAGTCACGCTGACCTCCTCCTCCCAAGACCAACGGGAATTGCGGGTAAATAGTGGAGAAATCACCTGGAAAACACTGGAATGATAGAGGGAGAAGAGCCTTGGAGTTGTGGGCAGACAGCGGATTCAAGTCACACATCCCAACGGGTGAGAAGTGCGGTGGAGGCTCAAGAGGGTGGGCTGGGCGCCCATGGGCACCAGCACCAGAGGGACATTGAAACGGCCAGTTAGATCCCCCCGAGAAGAACGGGGTCTGAACCATAAACAGGGACCCCTAGACTACAACAGCTGAAATTAGGAAAACGCAGACAAAATGCAAGCCCGAAAAGCTTAGGGGCGTTCTCTGCCAGAGACAGGTGGCTGGAGATGCAAAGAGACATTTAAAGGCCTAACGCAAAAATTTGCAGTGGCAGCCGCCTTCCTAAATCTCTGGGTACAGGCGGCAGGAGAGTGGGCTGGTGCCTGAGGAAAGATTGGCGAGGAAAACTTTGCGAAGAGAACAGAGACTGTGGCCAGCGGAGCCCCGGTCATAACTCACCTCCCACTCTGCAACGACCACCTTCCCCAGGCATAAGAGAATCAGTTAACCTGCCTTTTGCGTACTCCACACACAGTTTGTGGGCGTGTGGACTAAGGGCTGTGTGCAGACTGGCTGGAAGAAATAGAGGATCCCTGGCCAAAGGGGACACATAGCTGCATAGAGTCCCTTGAGGAGAGACTGGAGATGGAGGGGTTGGGGAAAGAACTGGAGGATTAGCTGAGATCCCCGGAGCAGACTCCCTCCCGATTCCGTAGTCCCGATTTGCGCAGGCAGGCCAACCCCGCAAAGAGGCAGAAGTGGTGCCAGAGCCAGAAGCCTCGCAAATACGGTCCGCAGACATAGTGGATCCCTAGCTGAAGGGATCACAGAGCAGCCCAGAGACCTTTCAGGTGAGACTGGCGTTGGGATTAACCAGAGAGTCCCAGAGCTGACTTCTTCCCATTTCCATAGTCTCCGTTTGTGTGGGCAGACCACGCCTCCAAAAAACCAAAAACGGGGAAAGTACACAATAGAGACCCTAAACTGACCAGTGCCAGGGGCGCACACGAGGTCGGGGGAAGTACAGGGGGCGAGGGCCCGGGCTCGCAGGTCCACGAGTGCGCTCAAGGAGCCAGCATGAGACTGCAGAGCGATCCGCAAAAATAGTGGATCCCCAGCCGAAGGGGTCACAGAGCTGCCCAAGGCAGGAGTCAGACACAGACAGTAGGTTCCTGGAAAGCTCAAACGGCCCAAGGTCATATAAGATCAAAACTGACATCATCAGAGGCAGGCCCAGAAAGAAAACTAAAGATAAATAAATAAATAAGAAGACCCGCCTACTGCCATAGAAGCTTAATCCACAAAGTCAGGAAATCTAGACGGATCAATTGAAGCAGACGCAAAAATAAATAAATAAATAAATAATAGTGGACTCTCACAAAAATGAGAAGAAAAAGAAGTTCCCCCTAAATGAGTAGAGAAGGAGAATCCCCACAGAGAGAGCTAAGTGAAACAGAGGCAAGGGAACTATCAGATATTGAATTCAAAACAATGGCTCTAAGGAAGCTCAATGAGCTCAGCCAGCACAAAGACAACTATGAGAAACTGCAGAGAAACTATTAGGATCTTACAGCAAACTATATCAGTCTGGAAAAGGACATAGAAACTATCAAGAAGACACAAGAGGATCTGAAGAATCCCATTTCTGAATTGAAGAACACAGTAGAAAGAATCCTAAGCAGGCTGGATGAAGCTGAGGATTGAATCAGTGAAATGGAGGATAAGGTAGAAAAAAGCTCCCAGAAAGAACAAGAAATGGAAAAAAGACTCAAAAAGAATGAAGAGGCATTTAGGGAAATGTAGGACAACCTGAAATGCAATAATATCCGCATAATAGGGATACCAGAAGGAGAAGAGGAGCAAGGGATAGAGAACCTCCTCGAAAAAGTAATGATGGAAAATTTCCCTAATTTGAGGAGAGAAAGGGTCTCATGGATCCAGGAGGCACAGAGGACCCCAATCAAGAGGGACTCAAGGAGGTCCACTCTAAGACACATCATCATTAAAATGGCAACTACAAAAGACAAAGAGAGAATCTCAAGGCAGCAAGGGAGAAAGAGAAAGTAACATACAAGGGGGCCCTGATATGGCTAGGAGCTGACTTCTCAACAGAAACACTACAAGCCAGAAGGGAATGACAACAAATATTCCGAGTAATGAAAAGCAAGGGCCTACGACCAAGGCTGCTCTACCCAGCAAGGCTCTCAATTAAAATAGAAGGGGAAATAAGGAGTTTCCCAGACAAAAGAAGGCTAAAAGAATACATCTCTACCCAACCAGCACTCCAAGATATGCTAAAGGGACTGGTTTAAGAAGATGAAATAAAAGAGTGAGAAAGAGAAAAACACAGGTACAAGGAGAAAAAATGAATTTCTATCAGTAATAACTCTCAATGTAAATAGACTAAGTGCCCCAATCAAAAGACACAGGGTAGCTGAATGGATAAGAAAACATGACCCCCACATATGCTGCCTACAAGAGACCCACCTCAGAGCCAAAGACCTACACCGATTGAAAGTAAAGGGATGGAAAAAAATATTCCAAGCAGATGGGCAAGAGAAGAAAGCAGGTGTTGCCATACTTGTATCAGACAAAGTAGATTTCAAAACGAAGGACATAAAAAGCGACCCAGAGGGGTACTTTATACTACTTAAAGGAAGAATCTATCAAGAAGACATAAACATTGTAAATTTATATACTCCCAATAGAGGAGCCCCCAAGTATATAAGGAAATCGTTGGACGACTTCAAAAAAGATATCGACAGCAACACACTGATAGTAGGGGATTTCAACACCCCACTGTCAAAAATGGACAGATCTTCCAAACAAAACATTAATAAGGATATTGTGGGGCTGAGTGACGCACTGAATCAAAGAGACTTAACTGACATATATAGAACCTTACATCCCAAAGAAACAAAACACACATTCTTTTCAAATGCTCATGGAAGTTTTTCAAAGATAGACCACATGGTAGGACACAAAGCAAGCCTCAGCAAATTCAGGAAAATTGAAATAATACCAAACTTTTTCTCGGACCACAAGGGCTTGAAACTGGAAATCAGCCTCAAAGAGAAACTTCAAAAACTTGCAAACTCATGGAGACTGAACAGTAGACTATTAAACAATGAATGGGTCAATAATGAGATAAGAGAAGAAATCAAAAAGTTTCTGGAAACAAATGAAAATGAACATACAACAGTCCAAAACGCATGGGACACAGCAAAGGCGGTCCTGAGAGGGAAGTTCATAGCAATACAGGCTTACCTAAAAAAGATAGAAACATTTCAAATAAAAGACCTAACACTACAAATTCAAGAACTGGAGAAACAACAACAAATAAACCCCAAAGCAAGTAGAAGGAAGGAAATAGTCAAGATTAGAGCAGAACTGAATGACATAGAGACGAAAAGAACAATTCAAAGGATCAACCAATCCAGGAGCTGGTTCTTTGAAAAGATAAATAAAATCAACAAGCCTTTAAGCAGATTCATCAAGACAAAAAGGGAGAGGACCCAAATAAATAATATCAGAAATGAAAGAGGAGAAATAACAACTGATACCACACAAATACAAAGGATTGTCAGAAACTACTATGAACAATTATATGCCAAGAAATTTGAAAACCTGGATGAAATGGACAAATTTCTAGAAAAGTATAATCTTCCAACACTGAAGGAGGAAGAAACAGAAAGCTTGAACAGACCGATAACAGCTGGGGAAATTGAAGCAGTAATCAAGAAACTTCCTGCACACAAAAGCCCAGGGCCAGACGGTTTCACAGGAGAATTTTACAAAACATTTAAGGAAGAGCTAACCCCTGTCCTTCTCAGACTGTTCCAAAAAATCCAAGAGGAGGGAAGACTCCCAGACTCTTTTGATGAGGCCAGCATCACCCTAATCCCAAAACCAGATAAACACCCTACAAAGAAAGAAAACTACAGGCCAATTTCTCTGATGAACATAGATGCTAAAATCTTCAACAAAATTTTGGCAGACCGCATCCAGCAATACATTAAAAAAATTATCCACCACGATCAAGTGGGATTTGAAGGGGCCAAACTTTAAAACTAGATCAAGTCTAGGCCGAAACAAGAAACAGGAACTAGGAACTAAGCTGAAAGACTAAACAACCTCAGGGTGCTGCAACTTGCAGATGGGACAAGAACAACACAGATGTGAGCAGACTAAGGGGAACAAGTTGACCCAAACTACAACAAACAATACCCCAAGATAAAGGGAAGAATTGGGGCCCCCCTTAGTAACAAGATAGGACAACGGTTGAGCCTTGCCTCAGATAAACAGCCTGACCACAGAGTAGGGGGGCCCAGTAACAGCCTTGAACCCAATCAGTAGAAAAGAAGCTGCCTAAAGTAGCCTATCGCTAACTGCCACTTCCCGCCCTTGTATCCTGCTTGCTTGCTCTGCTTATAAAAACCCGTATACCCTTACAGCGGCGCGCCTTTTTCCTTTCGAGGGAATGGCGGCCCCTGCGCAGGTAAAACTTGGCCAAATAATAAAGAGTGTGTGATCAAACTCTAATTCCTGAGCTCATACTTGCGGGGATCGTAACAGGATTCATCCCAGGGATGCAGGGATGGTTCAATATACGCAAATCAGTAAACGTGATACATCACATAAATAAAAGAAAAGACAAAAACCACATGATCATCTCGATAGATGCAGAAAAAGCATTTGATAAGGTACAGCACCCATTTATGATCAAAACACTCAGCAAAATGGGAGTAAATGGGGCATTCCTCAACGTAATAAAGGCCATATATGAAAAACCTACAGCCAACATCATACTCAAAGGGCAAAAACTAAAAGCTTTCCCACTAAGATCGGGAACACGACAAGGATGTCCGCTTTCACCGCTTCTTTTCAACATTGTATTGGAAGTCCTAGCCACAGAGGTCAGACGAGAAAAAGAAATAAAAGGCATCCAAATAGGAAAGGAGGAATTAAAGCTATCATTGTTTGCAGATGACATGATAGTGTACATAGAAAACCCTGTAGACTCCACCAAAATCTACTCAACCTAATAAGTGAATTTGGCAAAACAGCAGGATACAAAGTCAATATTCAGAAATCAAAGGCATTTTTGTACACCAGCAATGACATAGAAGAAGAAATCAGAAAAAAAAATACCATTCGATATAGCAAGAAGAAAAATAAAGTACCTAGGAATAAATTTAAACAAGGAGGTAAAAGACTTGTACGCAGAAACTATACAACATTGAAGAAAGAAATTAAGAAGACACAAATAAATGGAAGCATATACCGTGTTCATGGATTGGAAGAATTAATATCATCAAAATGTCCATACTACTCAAAGCAATTTATAGATTCAAAGAAATCCCTATTAAGATACCAATGATGTATTTCACAGAAATAGAACAGACATTTCAAAAATTTATATGGAACCATAAATGTCCCCAAATAGCTGCAGTAATTTTGAGAAAGAAAAACAAAGTAGGAGGGATCACAGTACTGCACATCAAACTATATTACAAAGCCACTATACTCAAAACAATCTGGGACTGGCACAAGAACAGACCCATAGACCAGTGGAACGGAATAGAAAGCCCAGAAATAAGCCCAGGTCTCTATGGGCATCTAATATTTGACAAACGGGGCCGAAGCATAAAATGGAGCAATAATAGCCTCTTCAACAAATGGTGTTGGGAGAGCTGGGCGGCTACATGCAAAAAATTGAAATTGGATCATCAGCTGACACCATACACAAAAATAAACTCAAGATGGATAAAAGATTTAAATATAAGTTGCAACACCATGAAA